ACTTAACTATGTAACTCAGGCTGGCCTTGAACTTGCTCTACAATCCAGGCAGATGTTAAATTTCAATCCTCCAGCCTCAGTTTGTCAAGTGCCAGGAATTACAAGCATGCTCTCCCATATCTGGCTGAATCAAGCATTCATTGTGGTATTTTTAAAATTAGAACCAATATTAAATATAAACCATTGGCATTAACATGACGGCAATACATTTGCAGTGAGCATAGGATCCAAAGAGAAGGCTTAGTTAGCTGGTATGCCTGTCCCCTTCCTCCAAACCAACTGCGTGTGGCAAGGCCACATAGCTACGAACAGTCCCCTGAGTGTTAGTCAAAGTGCGGGTGGAATGAAGCTAAGCAATTGTGACATTTACATGATCATGGGGATAGGGACTGGATGAGGTGGCCTAGCTTCTCCTCTGTTCTGTCCTGACTATAAATAATTCAAGTTAAAAACTCTAATGGCTGCATAGCTCTTCTATTTTGAATGGATTTTCTCCTCGTGGAAGAGGGGAGCCAGGGAATCAATGTGGACGGAAGGAAAATGGCTGTGAGTTCTGGACTGTCAGCCCAGTGGGGCACCCTGGAAGAGGCCAGTGGAAAAACACTCATCTAAAGTTGTTTGTGATGGACGCTTCCCAGGGAATGGGGTTCTTTGATCCTCCAGGTCATAGAAACAGTATGTGCCAAAGTCTAGAAGTTCCATCGGAGCTCATCTGTACTGTTATCAGTTATCATAGCATTATATAAAAATAAGGACCCTTTTCACAAGAAGGTTCCAGACTCTCTGTGTATCTTAGGTAACAGGGTAGATAGGGTAGCTGTGGACCTTTAGTGATAGAGTGTAGGGACATGACTTAATATGCTTTGAGGTACAAAACTTAGCACTTTCATTAAGGGCACACAGGAAACAGATCCACATACAACAGGCAACCAGGCATAGCCTAGCCAACCCAACCCAGGAAGTACTAATAGTCACCTTCTTTATCTTCTGATGATGCCTCCTTCATAGGCTCCCAGGGACACTACCAGTCTTAGATTCAAAAACAATGTATACAACACTCTTTGATTTACGACCTGAGTCTGAACTTGAGCCCATAGGAAGAGATTGCAATAAAAGCCAGGCATTTCTCTCCCTGTTCTTAGGTTTTCCAATCACTTTGAGAGTCCACTGACTGGGATTAGTTGCTGGGGGCTAGGAGTGAAGCTCTTCTCAACATAGACTGCCTTTCTATTTTTGTTTGTTTGTTTGTTGTTTTTGTTTTTTTGAGTCAGGGTTTCTCTGTATTGTTTTGGAACCTGTCCTGGAACTAGCTCTGTAGACCAGGCTGGCCTCAAACTCACAGAGATCCATCTGCCTCTGCCTCCCGAGTGCTGGGATTAAAGGCATGCGCCACCAACTCCCAGTATCCTTCTGTTCTTTGATCCCATTCTTTCAGCTACTAGACCACTTGTCATGTAAACTTTGAGATAGGAGCAGGTGTGGAAGATGCCTAGTAGATGTCCTGGTCTCTATGTATACGTCACCCAGAACTTCCTGCAATCACTGAGTTTGCCCAAGAACTCCTGAGAACCACAGTGCACCTCAGTTCCTATTTCTAGCTCTCAGAAAGGAGAGTCTCAACAAGCAAGCAAATGCTTTTACAGATGGCAAGCTTAACTTGTGTTTTTGCCTGCCAAATGATGTAAGGTGGTTTTATTCCTCCCATATGTAGAGTCTTGTTCTGGGAGGTGAGATAAAGGATAGAGGTGAGGAGGCTACCCACACAGGGCTTACTCCTTTTCTCCTGAGTTGGGGGGAGGGAGTTCAAATACAATTGGGAAAGGCGGGGAAGCCATGCATATTCTAGGAGGTTAATTCCCCATCTCAGCAGGAGATGGATTTTGGGAGTCATAGAGTGCAGACAGGTAGGACCTAGAGTGTTCTTTAAGAAAGTGTTCCCTATGTTTGTACCTTGGCAAACTCGGGGTAGATGCAAGTTCCCATGGCAACCTCTTATAGAGGTCACATGGAACTTGCACACATTCTGAAAGCCATTGTGAACAGTTCTAGGGTGGAGTCCCATTTGGGGATTCTGTCTACATCCAGGACAGTGAGGGGACAGCTTGTTTGAAGGTTACAAGGTTCAGAGTCAGCTTGTCTTGCTCTAGGTCAAATGCTGTCCTAGTGTCTGTCATTCATGATGGTCTGGGTGTGTGCAGCTGAGCTGGTAGCAAGGATGAGCCATTCACCGAGTCACCTCATGGCTGGGCAGCCTCTGTCAGGGATTCCCAAGTCCTGTCACAGGCAAGGCAGCAAAGGTTGAGGCCCCACCTCTCCTACGGAGGGTACCTCAGCTGCACATGGCTGGCTTCCCTTGAGCATGGGAGGCAGAACTTTCTGGAACCATCAGCCAACCAGCTCCTTCCCAGTTACTGTCATGAGGATCTTGGGTGGCCATGAACTTCAGGGTAGACAACATTTGCATGAGCAGACCTCGGAGTAGGGCTGCATGGAAAAGGAGCCCAACACCCTGAATGCATCAAAGACAAATAATACAAGCAAAGCAGCTAGAGGGCAGGCCACCTACGAGTACTCTCAGCCCCCTGAGTCTAATGGACACCACTAGACCTGGTTTCCTTCACTGCTATATTCAGCCACGGGTGCCTCAGATGAGGCGGCTGCCGGTGAGGGGGGGTAATTTCTGGGCCATCGGAAGGAATTTGCTGTCTTCTTTCCTGTTGTTCCTTCCACACAATTGGGGAAGATGCAGGCATTTGTTTGGTTGTTGTTTTGTTGTTTTTGTTTTTAGGGAGGGGATGCTCATGCCCTTGTAGGGAGCAGGCTTTTTTTTTTTTTTTTTTGGAATGGCATCTCTGCTCATTGCTGAAAGAATCTAAGCTCTTCATCTTTGGGGCCAGCCTCCTTCTCTCCTTCAGTATGGGGCAGACGTTACAGGAAAGCAACAGTTGAAGAAATCTTGATATTACACCTTGGTAGCTAATCTCAGCTGAGGCAAGGCGTCCGCCCCCTTCAGGTCCTTAGAGTCCTACACTTCCAGAAGCATTCACCTGGTTTCTTCTGCATGCTCCCAGGAAGATGCAGTTTGGAGGTTCAAGCATCAGCAAGTGATAGGAAAACATGCCGCTGTCAGCTACGCTTGCCTTCCTGCACACACCAGGCAGAGAGAAGGCAATTGCCCCAGGAAGAAACCAAAGGGGGTGGGAAGCTGTGCAGTGTATTAATATTCTGTGTCTCTACCTGCTCTAGCTCAGAAGTCTGGTCCTAAGGGGATCATGGTGACTCAGCCTAGGGAAGAAACAGAAAGGGCAGGTTTGCAGAGGGCACCTTAAGAAAGGAAGGCAGGCTGCTGCCTGGATGTGCCAGACTCCAGGCAGTTTGGTGAAGGGACTCTGTGCCCCCTTGGGCTCTTGGGACCTCCATCTTGCTCTCTCTTCCCTACGCTATGGCTCAAACCTAGTTTGACTTGTGCTCTTGGTGAATATTCACACACTACAGTGGGGAAAGTATCTACAGCTGCCCTCCACACTACTGCTCGGAGTGCTTGTAGAGGTGAACTAAAGGAAGACCCTATAAGGAGACCTTGCATGATCCAAGTCTAAGGCAGCAGCAATGGGGGACAAGGGAGGGAAAGTAGGCTAGAGGAATATGCATTGCACCAAAAGAAACCCTGCCCGGCTGCATGGAGAGATAGAGGTTGCAAAGCTGCTGGCTGCTCAGTGTGGCTGGAGGAAGGATGGAGGAAAGAGAAGCAGGGAGCTTCTGGCTGAGATCTGAGGAAGTAGCAGGGCAATTTCACTACAGCAATAAAGACCTGGGCTCAGAAAAATACCAAGGAAATTAGCACATCTATAGGTAACGGGCAACCTGACCACTCACACTTGAATTCATAGTGAATCTAGCAAAACTCAAAGAAATAAAAGTCTTGGCCTGCTACTAAAAACAGACGCAGACATTGAGTTCTCCACCCCAACAGAAGACTTCTGTGATCAGGACTCAAGTCTAGTCATCACATCAGCCATGCCCACTAACCTCTCTCTCTCTCTCTCTCTCTCTCTCTCTCTCTCTCTCTCTCTCTCGTCACTGGCACAATCTGACTATCATGAGATACTAAGCAAAATACAGCAATTTGATCCTAACACTTTTCTGTCCCAGGTTCTAAGTCTCTTTCTCTTAGCTGGAGAGAGACTCACAAAGTCTGAGATGAGGGAAGGGTTTGATGTACACCAATCTTAACTTAGAGATGTTGTCTAGTATGGTGGGTGTCTCAGAGGGCTCTGTTACTTCGGATGCCCGGGGCCTCCTCGCCCACCAGGTTCAATCCTTCCCCTACCCCAGTGGCTTCACCCTCTGCTCCCAAGAAGCAGGGATGGGTGTGAGCTAGAGGACAAGTTCTGGTCCAAAGCAAGCGATTAGGGAAGAATAGCATCAAACACGGAGAAGTCTCTTGTCTGTCTATGCATCTGGGTTATAGACACCCAGATTATGATTTTTTTTTCTTTTTTCTCTAATGGTGGCACAGGCAAGAAAGCTGGGAGCCAGGCTCTCTGCAGATTCCAATATGCTGGTGCGGGATGGACTTCGGAAACAGAAAGCCAAGTGCCATGGAAACCAACCGAGAGCGCCCCAGCTCTACCGACAGGAGTCCTGTAGAAAAGGCAATAAGAACAGCAGTGACTGCAAGGAGCTGAGCCCTGCTTAATGGCTTTCCCCCTCATGCCTTGCAGGGAGGGGGTCTCCACTGGGTGGAGGAAGGAAGCCAGGGTGAGATGGAAAGTCCCCTTTTCTGTAGCAACCCAGAGGTCAACCTCAGCAGGGAGTCTCTGTGGGTCCCTGGGTTGAAAGAATCGGGGCATGGATGGAGGTGAGTGTTGTTCACACCTGTCTTTTCTTTCTCGCTCTCTGATGCCACCAGGATACCTGGATGGCTACTGGAATTCCAAGATGAAAACAAAACAGTATTTTTTTTCCTTCGGAGTTGCTACTGGCGGTTGAAGCAATAATTGAGAACTCCCGGGTATTTATTGCATTGGGAAACAAAACCATGAAAGCATTGAAGACAGCCCTTTAGTGTCCCTGCCAAGGAGATGGAGTTGATCCGTGACCCCAGTTGCACTGCAAACTTGAGTTCTTTACTGAACTGTACCAACTCCTGCATATCCATCCATAGGTCCAGATCTCCCATGTGGAGGAACAGAGTCTGCCCGCGGGGAATGCACATGCGCGGTGAGCTGGCAACGCGGTGTGGCTGGTGGGAGGTTGCTACTCCATGCCGCTCCGCAGGATCTGGTTGGCTGCGATCAGCATGACGCTTATGATGAAGGCCATGGCGAAGGCGCATATGAGGCTCTTGCGGACGCAGGTCTGCCGGTTCTGTTTCTGTGAATGAACTGGGGTCAGGGTAGAGAGGAGAGAACAGAGAGATATCTTGAGATAGGCTGTATGTTTTCTACACAGCATAGGCTGTGTCTAACCAATTCAGGTGATGGATAGATACTATAGGACTCTTAGCAACAACTGAGCAGAAAATTCTAGCGAAAGGTATGAAATGGTAAGACATCCCTTCCAGAACTGTGGTCCGTGAGATGTTGGGAGAAAGCTTTAGACGTCTAGATATAATGCAGCTACAGAGAGTTTCAGAGAAAAGAATGTGTAACATTACAGGCCCCTTTCTGTAACCAATACTAATACAATAAGGTTTGAAAGCTTTCCCACATATTGTATGTGTATGTGTCTTGTTTGTACGAGTAGTGCACATGGCTATGGAGGCCAGAGTACAGTGTCTGATGTCATTCCTTGGACACTGTCCGCCTTGGTTTTTGAGACAGACTCTTGCCAGCTGGGAACTTGCCTAGTAGTCTGAGTTGACTGTGCAGTGAATCCCAGCGATCCGCCTGTCTCTTCCTCCCCAGTACTGTGATTACAAGCACACACCACTGTATCTATCTATGTGAAAATCAGGTTCTCCTGCTTGCAAGGCAAGCACTTTACCAAACTGAGCTGGCTCTCCAGTGTTCTTTTGGAAGCTCAATTACCTCCCAATAGTGCCACCATTTGGGGACCAAGTCTCCAGTACAAGAGCCTCACAAGACACCTCACATCTAAACAGCACATTGTGGGGGGGGGGTGGCTGATACAGAAGGGATTGACGACCTTTCCTCATTTACCCCTATATCTAACTCGGGGTTTTTATTATTAAAACCAATTAGAACTTGTGCTACATGGTCTTTCAAATTCAGCTATTAAAGAAGATTGGGGACTTGGGATAAGACGTGGTCAGTAAAGTGTTTGTTCTGCAAGTATGAGTTCAATCCTCAGCACCCACAAAAAAAAAAAAAAAAAAAAAAAAAAAAAAAGCTGGTCATGGTGGGAGAGACAGGTGGGTTGTGGGGCCCACTAGCCATCAGGCCAGCATACTTGATGAGTTCCAGACCAGCCAGGTGGTGGATGACATCCTGAGAAACATTATCTGAGGTTGACCTGTAGCCTCCGTGTACTTGCACACACACACACACACACACACACACCAAGGAGAGTGGCAAAGCCAGCTGTGGTGGTGCATTCTAGTAATGCCAGGTACCTGAAGGCAGTCAGAAGAATTTTGAGTTTGAGGCATGATTTGGCTACATGATAAAACTCTTGTCTTGAAGGGGCCAGACCCCATCTAGCATCCTGCTTTGGCAGCCATAACGGGCTGCAGACCCAGCAATAAGTAGGTCTCTGACTTAGCAACATGTGCTGAGTTCCTGACCTTGCCCCAGTCACTAGGAAGCCAGATACCCTCCATGTGGCAAGGAGCCAATCAGAAGTTAGCTAGCCGGCTCTGGATGTGCTTTGAGGTGACAGTGGAGTGCAGAGCATAGCAACCACGCTAGGAGGGGCTCTGAGCATAGCAACCTGTCCTGCAGGTGCCTGTGACCAATCAACTCAGGACAGGTCACCCAAGCCCGGAAGAAGTGCACCACTCCTGAGCCTGTTGTGGACTCCCAGACACTCCCCTTGTTCTACCCAATATGTTCCCTGCCCCACAGCCATCGTGGGTCCTCCTCACTCCACCACCTGCAGTGTCAGAGGGACAGAGGACCTGAGTTAATACAGATAACTCGTTATTAATTAAAGACTCTTTGCTTTTGCATCGGATCAGGTCTCCTGGTGACTTGGGGGTTCAGAATTTGGGCACAGCAGTCTCAAAACAACAAAGCATTCAAAACAAACCCACACAGAAACAAGGCTGACAAGATGGATCATGGGTAAGGGAGCTTGCCATCCGGCCTGACCACCTGAGTCTGCTCCTGGAGACCCACATGGTAGAAGGGTGAAAACTAGCTCCTGAAAGCTGGCCTCTGAGTGCCACAAAAGCAAACACACACACACACACACACACACACACACACACACACACACACCACACACACACACCACTAACACAATAAATGAAATAGGTAAATAAATACCGTTTAAAGGGCTCAAACAAATAGAACACTGGAAGGAAGAATGGACCAGTTAGGCCTCTCAAGGCCATGATACTCAGAGTCATGCTCCAGCATCTCCCACCATGTTGGGACTTCCCCTGTAGGAATAACAGACTTAGAAGTAGGAATCAGGCCATGTTTTCAAAGTTAAGACGAGCTATCCCTGGGAGAAAGGGCCCAAGGGCTTGTCAAGGATCTCTGAAAATTACTGTCAAGCCAGATTCTCAGTGAGCCTGTGCCCCCAGCCACTGCTCGGGCTCCCTCTCCAATTCACCAGGGTTCTTTTCCCCAGAATCTCCTAAGTCTCCTCTTGTTATCACTAATCCTCCCAGATCCACCAGGCTTGTGCTTCCCCTGGGTGATATAGGAGTATTTTTGTGGTTCGACTCTCCACTCACTGATTGACTCAGTTTTAAGTTTTTAGCTGGAGGAGGGAGTTTTGTTTGGTGTGGAGATGGACTTCTAGGAGTGGGCACACAGAAGGAAAATGCTAACTCCCAGAGAGGGCAAAGGAGATGGTGTTTTAAGAAGGAAAGGATGGAGTCGGGACGTGGCTCAGCTGGTGAAACGCAGCGAGTGAGGCCCTGGGTCCCATCCCCAGCCCTGGGTTCCATCCCCAGTGCGGCAGTATGAGAGAGTGGCGGTGCACACTTGTAAACTCAGCACCCAGGAGGTGGAGACAGGAGGACCAGACGTTCAAGGTCATCCTCGGCTACAAAGCAAGACCCTATCTAAACAAACAATGAATCAGCAAAAAAAAAAAAAAAGGAAAGAAGGAAGAAAGGAAGGAAGGAAGGAAGGAAGGAAGAAAGGAAGGAAGGAAGGAAGGACGGTCGGACGGACAGACGGAAGGAAGGAAGGTGTTCGTGGCTTGCTGAGAACCAGCTAATGAATTCTGGGCCTATGCCTATGTAGAAAGTCTCCTGTCACACTCCATCCTAGGGTCTGTGGGAAGCTTCTGCAACAGAAAATGCTGTGCTTGGCCCAAGGGGGAATATGCTCATATAAACCTTCTTTTTGAAGGATACTCAGGAAGCGAGGTAACAGGTGACAGGCTTTTATCCCCCCCACCCCCCACCTCCCCCAACCTTACCTCCCCCCACCTCTCCGTGTTAAGGTGTGGCTATGAAGTGTCTCCTGCATGCTGGTGTGTGTGTGAACACATGGCCACCTGCTGGTGAGGCTGTTTGGGGAACCTTTGGGAGATGGGACCGAGTCACTACAGGGGTGACAATTGGAAATTACACAGAGCCAAACTTCCTGTCATGGACCCTGTTTCCTGATACTGGCCTGCCTAAGCAAGGTCCTCGTGTATGCAGTGATGAGCTGCCTCCATGCCAACCCCCACCCCTCTGACAGACTGTATTAAACCGTGAGACCAAATAAATCTCCCCTCCCTTGGATTGCTTGCTGAGAGGATTCGGTCACACAGATGAGAAAGGTGACTGACATAGCCTAGCAGTGTCGCTTCCACTTTGATCTCAGAGTCCTTCAAAGCCTGGGGAGGGAGGGGTAAGATGTGCCTGAGAATCCGGACAGGCGTGTCCAACCTTGCGACACTGTGAAACAATGCTGTCATCTACAAAGGTCGCATATACAACTGTGTTATTTTTTTTTTTTTTAAATCACACCCCTTCCCAAACAATACAACCTTTTAACTAAGGTGTTGGCTGGCTGTGTCTATAGCTATGCAAGCCGGGCATGCCAAAGATAGAACAGATGCAAGTGGGGCATGCCAGAGTTAGAACAATATCCTAGAAGCTGAGGACTTCTAGAACATTCTGAGGCCATAGTAACCTGGAAACATCTGAACTGAAGCCTGTAACTCAGTATTGGGTGGGAGATTGTTCTGCAGTGAATCTGGACATCACCAGAGATTGTATGGTAAAGCAAAAATATAATCTCTTTTGTGGCTGAACCTAACACTCAATATCCTTGGGCCTCAATTTCCTTATCTATAAAATGGGGATAATAAGTCACCTTGGGAAGAGATTTAAGGACAGAGAACGTCAAGAATATTGCTCATGCCCAATTCATGCTGACTCTCCCTTTAAAACATCCGTTTGTTTATTGATTCCACATGTGGGGTGGACGTGTGTGTGTGTGCGCGCGCGTGCGTGCGCATGCGTGAATGTGTGAACAACAACCTTGGGTGTTTTTCCTCAGGTGCCACCCACCTTCTTGGTGAGACAGGAACTTGCCATTTAGTCTAGACTGAGCCATCTCTCCCTAGTCCTAGAACTCATGCCGAGTTGTTGAACATTCCTCCGTGCGCTGGTTATTGTGTTTATGTCATGGTATACACAGACTTGGATGTCACACAGGCTGGGTGTGGTGTCTTTAGAAAGAAGCAGGGCCTCCAGTGTCAAGCAGCAAAGGCCAATGGCATTTGACAAGTAGCAGATGGGATTGGAACCCATAGTTTGCTCTGCCTTGCACATTGAAAACCACTGCAAACACTCTCCCTGACCCCCTGCTTGGTTAGTTAACAGGTGTCAAACACTTGGAGTAGCTGGCAGGAGCATGAGCTAGGACCTGATGCATTTTCTTGAGACTGCCTTAAGGCCTGTCACTGGCAATATTATGTTTGCATTGCATTCTATTGCATCAAATGAGTATTATTTATTCTTAGTGTATATTCCTTTCTTTTTGAGTCCTGGGTATTGAACCTAGAACCTCATGTATGTTGTGGAAGTGCACTACCACTGAGCTACAGTTCCACCCCTTTTTCTTTTATTCTTTTCCTTGTTATTGTTTTGAAGACAATGTCTTGCTATGTAGCCCAGGATACCCTTCAGCTTGCAGCAACTGAGGCCAGAGGCTATCTCAGCTTCCCAGACTGTCTGGGATTTAGTCATGAGGTACCACGGCATGTTTATTTATTTACTAATATTTATTTTGTTTATTTATGTGTTTGT